GGGGATTTAGCTCAGTTTGAAGACTCTGGGCTTAATCTCTAATACCAGAAAAAATAAAAGGGGCATGACTGCTTCTGGGTTTATTATTTTGAGAGTGAGAATGGTAACAGTTGCACAGCTCTGTAAATAAACTGAAAACCACTGCAGCATACACACCCAATGGCTGAAATACATGGCATCTGAATTGTACCTTGTTTTTTCACAACTTTTGTTTGTTTTGTTTTGTTTTTTTGAGATAGGGTCTCACTATATGCTTCACAGTGGCCTTGAACTTACTATGTTGCTCCGGCTGCCTCTGAACTCCACTCACAGCAATCTCCTGCCTCAGCCTCACAAGTGTAGGGTGTGTACACCACCACATCCAGCTTTACACCTTGATCCTCTGATTTATCAACATATTCTAATTAATTTAAAGTGAATAATGTTGGTCTTTTTTGTTTGTCTGTGGTAATGGTGATTGAACCCAGGACCTTTGCACTACAGTGTATCCCAGACCTTTTCTATTTTGAAACGATGTCTGATTAAGTCACTAAATTGCCCAGGCTGGGCTCAAACTTACAATCCTCCTTCCTCAGCCTCCCATAATGTAGTCTTACATTTGAGAAAACGTAACTTGATTTTTTTTTTTTGGTAGTGGAGATCGAACTACGGTCCTTGTGCTTGTGAGGCAGACAGCGGAACCACTGAGCTAAATCCCTGGCCCTTGAGAAAATATAACAATAGAATCAAAAGGAATTTATTAATTTAGGCCAGTGGTTCTTAACCAAATGTGGTTCATTATTTGGGGATCAGCCGCTTTTAAAAAAAAATACTTTATTTTCAGATTAAAAGTATAGTTCAGTGTTAAAGAGTGTGAGCTTCACCCTGGGTATAATCCCCAGCACCAAAAAAAGAAAAACATCTTTATTTTTGATACAAGCAAAATATCTTAAGGAAGAGAGGACTTAAGATGGACTAAAATGCTGGTTAAAATATTATTCAAAATGCAAAAAGCAACAAAATATCGATAATACAATGAAACTATAGAAAATAAAATGTGGCCAGGGATTTAGCTCAGTGGCACCATACCTACCTCAGAAGCTCAATCCCTGGTATAAAAAAAAAGAAAGAAACCTAGCCAAAAAATGTGTTCTCACCTGTCCATCCATTACTCCCAGCAACGTGACTTCCATCCACTGCACAGGCTCGATGAAGTAGGAGGTGCAGTGAGCCTGACTTCCTGGGCTAAGCGTGAAAGACGGTGTTGTTCTCTTGTGAGCAAAGGCTACAGGCCCACTTCCTTCATGATGATCCAGTATGCTAGAGCTTCGAAATAAGGATCGTCTGCAACTCCCAAACAAAAACATTAATTAATTAAAAAATAGATGGAATGTGCAATATTTCTTAAAGACCAAATAATATAATATTGATTATGCTACTTAAATTACAACCTGATTATTTTCTTTTATCTTTTTTTTTTTGGCCTTACTAGAGATGAACCCAGGACATTTGTACTGAGCTACATCCCTGCCCTTTTTAAATTTTGAGGCAGTCTCATTAAGTCACTTAGTTATCCAGGCTAGGCTCAAACTTGGGGATCCTCTTGCCTCAGACTTCAGAGCACTGCGATTACAGGTGTATACCACACCCAGCTACTTTTACTTTTAAAAACATATATTCTTCTTGAAAGCAGATTTGAATTAGAAATTTCTATATTACTCAATTAAACAATCTTTTCTACAGAGATACAAGGAAATAGAACTTCAAATATTTTTCTATATCTTTAGAAACAAGATATAAATCTCCAGAAAAGGGCTGGGGATTTAGCTTAGTGGTACTGCCACCACCTGCCTCGAAAGCAGAAGGTCCCAAGTTCAATCCCCAGTACCAAAAAAAAAAATCTTCAGAATGTACAAAATATTTTACCTGCACTTTCTACATTTGTAGAGAACTTCATCTTTCATTCCTTGTGAAATGGTGGTTGGGTCAACAGCAAAGAGTTCTTGAGGTAAATTCTGTAATTCTATGTGATATAATTAAAATTGTAACTATTACCTTTCTGCATTTTCAGACAGTCAAATTGAAGAAACAAGTGCTAAACTCAAAAATTTTTAAAACAGAAAGAACTCCACGATGAGAAACCAGGATGCGGTAGGAGAGCAAAATGAGTAAGTATTGGGTTCTGAGCCAAATTGCCCAAATTAAAGCCATTTACAAACCATGTGACCTTAAGTAAATTATTTCTGTCTATAGCATAGTTTCAAAATAGAAATCACACACTTGCGAAGCTGAGACAGGAGAATCTTAAGTTCAAGACCAGCCTGGGCAACTTATGGAGACCCTGTCTCAAAATAAAAAAGGCTGTCGGTGTAGCTCAATGGTAGAGCTGAGTTCAATCCACAGTGCCAAAGGGGGGCAGGGGGGGTGGCGCTACTGTACCTGTGTGAGGCAGTTAAGGAAAAGTGACATAATGCATCTAGTGTCAGTAAGTGACATCTAGAAAAAGTCCAGTACGTACTAACAATTATTATTCTTACCTGGATACTTCTCTGTAACCTTTTGTAAACGATATTGCTTATAAATTGCACTAGAGGTGTCTACTTCATATCCCATTGCCTGGTATAATTTCAGTTGCCACTCAAACCCCTCATTCATCCTTTAATGACAAAACATAAAGTTCAGTTTTCTTTAAATAAAAATCACATCACCCAAGCAGAATCATTATTGTAACAAAGAACTCACTTAGCTTCTGGCTTGAGAGTCTGGAGGATCTCATAGGCATTTTCAAAAGTCAGTCGGTCAGTCTTCATCACAAAAGCAGTCACTATAGCAACACTTCGACTGATTCCTGCATGACTGAAAAAGAGACCTTCAGAATAAAACAGCAAATAGCAACAATTAAATAAAATAAAACCCAGCCACCTATTAATGGTAAAGTTTTAGGTCCACTTCATTTCTGCTTCTACTCAAATAACCCTACTGTGTCTGAAATATTACCAGTGTACAAAAGAATTATTCCTTTGCTTTCTTGTTTCTTTTGAATTTTGAACCTTGAATGGACTACCAACTCAAAAGTAATTACACTAATTTTTAAAACTTTTCTAATGGCTCCAGAACAAATCCAAGCTCTTTTGCTCTTAGTATTGAGGTCCCTTCTGGATCTAATTTCTTTTGACTTTAGTATTTTCTTCTCTACTTCACGTAAATATTTAGAATGAGTGTTGGTATACAGTAAGTGTCATAAATTTAAAATACTAGCTGGGCATGATGCTGCATGACTATAATCTCAGCTACTCAGGAGGCTGAGGCAGGAGGATGAGAAGTTCTAGGCCAGTTTGGTCAACTTGGCAGGGCTCTGTGTCAAAATTAAAAAGGAGTGAGGATGTGGTACAATGAGACCCTGGGTTCAATTCTGTACCATAGAATTATTAAAATTATTATAATTATTACACTTCAATCTAACCAAACAGGATTACATGACTACTCAGGGATTCCCAAGTACCTATCTAGATTTCCTATCTTTTCATCTTTGCTTCAACACACCCCATTTATCTCCCGTATCATCTAGTAGATACAACTTTAATTCTCCCCTTCATCAACCACCTTCCCCCATCCTAAACAAAGCATTAAAAATAACCTGCTCTGCTCTTACTCTTCACTCTCAATAATGTCATCCTTTGGGGCCTTTGTAACTTTGACAAAGATCTGGACAGCAAATTATTGTATCCAAAAAATTTCTTTTCTCTATCATCTAGCAACCTACTGATCTTTCAGGAACACATGCATTGAGCTTAAAATTACATGCTTACAGTTGCAACTTGAAAATATCAGCTTTAGAAAGGAAAGTCTATATATCTCTTTTAGAGAAGATGGGGCTTTATGTCAAAAGACTTGACCATGTTTGGTCCACTGAGAGGGGGATGTTGCTTTGTTGCTGGACAGCTTCAATGGCATTCATTTAGGTCTTAAGGGTTTTAATCTTTTTGGTTGCCAATGGGTGGCCTCTATAGTACTCAAAGAATCCGGGGGCTATCACATCCAAATATGACATGCTGATTATTTTAAATTAAAGGAACTTAGCAGCAGACGATGAAAGAGGCTTTACTCTTGATATTTTCTTGTTTGCTTAAAGTTCAGCCCCACTAAGAAAAAAAAATCACCTCTGGTCTCTTTTTCTGACTTCCCATTAACTAAATTCATACACTAGGGAGAAAGACAAGCTGGTCAAAAAACCCAGACTATTGAGTGTCTGTCCGCAGGTGCTGACAGATTTTTTTCAGACACCCTGTCATCTATTTAGTTATTCAATATTCCAAATAGAATCATTTACAATTTACTCTCTGTTCTGTGGGTCCAGCAGATTTTGGCCTAGGCCACTATTTCTTCAAGCCCAATGAATTCCCCTGAAACTCAGTCACTATTCCCTTAAAATTATGTTACATTTCCAACGTGTCCCATCCCTTATGGAAAAGGGATATATAAATATTTGAGTCATGTTGAGCTAATGGGGTGATTTTATTTTGTGACTGCTTCCATGCACAGAATCGTTTGGACAAATTCCCTTCTAATCAATCTTTTCTCCTGTTTCCCTTTCTCCCCTAAGGCAGGTTACAGAAGCTAGAATCCCTCTCTTCCAAAACCAGTCACAAAACCTGGAAATACCACTCCAAACTTCCTTCAACTTTCTGTCTAAAAAGCTGTTTATAAAGGAATTCTTTTACCTAGCTGTCTCATAGATGCTAAGACCCTCGCTCCAGAGGGGTCCTGCACTACACTTGGGAGAAAGGAATGCTGCACAAGCCAGAAGAATACAAATGGACAGGCCTTCCTAGGTTTCCCTCTCCATCCATTCCATCAGGCCCTACCCATTTTCTCTAACTTCTATACAACTGCCCATTCTTAAATGTATCCAAACATCAAAATGGACAGTTTTTCCCTAAGTCTTTGAAGGTTACCGTATCATGTAAAATTTTGATTAATCCAATCTGTCATGTTCGTCTCTTGTTAACCTATCTTTTGTTACAGGAGTATCACAGGAAAGGTGTCCTATCATTCCATTCCTAGGAATCTAATCTGCAGTTCCCGAAAGAGCTGTAAACCACCTTAGGGGTGGACTCCTCATCCTGTTTCTGCTGGCCGCCCACGCCCCCCAAAAACCAACCAATTGCTGCAGAGCAAACGAACCAAAACACTAATGAATGAAAGCAGGGGCCCACCTCCAGGCCTTGTTCCTCCTCGGTACACAGGACCCCGCAGGAGCGGGGCGGAAGTGTGACCGTACCTCGTCCTCTCCTGGGGGCCGCGGTACTAAAGGATGACGAGCGGCGAAGGCTCCAGCCAGACGGGGCACCACCTCTCGCCCCCAGACCCGGGACTCACCAGTGCACCAGCACCGCCCGGCCCTCGGCGCGGGCCTGCCCGATGAAGGCCACGCACCGGTCCAGGTGGCTGAGCAGGTCGGTCTCGGGTTTGTCCAGCACCCGCACGAACAGGTTCCGCAGACCCTCGAACCCAGCCCCCGCCTTGAAAGCAGGTTCCCAGTCCACCGTCAGCACGGCGGTGATGCCAGCCTCCCTCAGGTGATCCGGCTCCGAGACGGCCGCCGCCCCACCCAGGTACAACCCCGGCCGCACTTCCAGCATTCGCTCCGTGGAGCTGGCTGGGTCCCCGCTCGGGTTCGGACGCTCGACGCCCGGGCTCGGGCCCTGCGC